GCCTTCAGCTGTGAGCAATAGAAAACCCAGCTCTCTGGTTTATACACAAATAAGTCGTCACACACAACTGAAGTCAAGAAGTTGGGAAGACTTCAGGTTAACCTATCTAGTAGCTCCAGCTTCACCACTTCTCTTTTCTCTCCTTTTGTGTTATTCTCAGGCTGGTAGGAAGATGGTTCCACTAGTCTGGATCACATATCTATACAAAACAACCGCCAAAGGAAGAAAGAGCATCTCTTCCTGTAGTTCTTTCTCAAGAGGGAGAAAACTTTACCCAGAAGCCCCCAGAAATGCTTTATGTATGTCAGGGGCCCGTGTTAAGTCACATATTTTTCCTGAACTCATCTCTATTACCAGGGAAATACTTAATTTTACTCAACTCTGGGTTCCTGAACCAAGGAGGAGAGTGTTTCCTGTCAAGTGTTTTACTGTGACTGTGGTCTGACATCAGGCTAAACCGGTAAAAACAGGAAACTCTGTCCATTCTGATCCCTTCTTCCACATTTCCACTCTTCTCCAACCTGCCTGGTTTTTCATTCACCATAGTCTACTGGAAGCTGTTTTCTGTAGTGTTATGGTTTGAACTGCATCCTCACCAAAATTCATATGTTGAAGTCCTAACCTCCAGCACCTCAGAATACGACCTTATTCAGAAATAAGATCTCTACAGTGTAACTAGTTAAGACAAGGTCATACTGGAGTAGGGTGGGCCCCTAATCCAATGTGACTATACCAGTCCTCATAAGAAGGGGAAGTTTGGACACAGACACACACACATAGGGAGAATACCATGGGGAGGTGAAGGCAGAGGTTGGGGTGATGCTTCCACAAACCAAGGACTGCCAAAGATTGCTAGCAAATCACAGAAACCAGGTGAGAGGCCTGGAGCAGATTCTCCCTCAGAAGGAACCAACCCTCTGATACATTATCTTGGACTTCTAGCCTCCAGAACTGTAAAACAGTACATTTCTGTCGTTTAAGCTACTCAGTTTGTAGTACATTTTTATGAAGGTCCTAACAAACTAATACATGTGGTGTGCCCAGAATTCATATAGGCGCTTCTCCACCAAACCAGGAGTGAAACTGTCCTATTTGCCTTAGAATAAGGTCACATTTTCTTTGTGCTTTCTTATCTGTCAAATGGGATAATAATAATATTTACCTCGTAGGATTTGCTGGGAAGATTAAATAAGCTCCCAAGTATAGGTAAAGTGCTTGGAGAAAAGTGCATGGACCATATATGCTCTCAAGAGTTACTAGTTATTCTTGGCCTTGACTCATTGAGCTACAAGCCAAGCTCCATTACAGGCACTGTAAGTACATCACCAAACAAAACAAATACAAATTTTGGCCTTTATGATTTTTACATTTGTAGTGAGAGGATGTAGAGAATAAAACAAATAAGCAGATTATGTGATATACTGGCCAGTAGTAAGTTCCACGAAGAGAAATGAAGCAGAGAATTAGGAGAGGGAGGTCTGGGATTGGGTGCGGCAGTTTTCAGTAGGGTGGTCCAGAGAGGCATCCCTGGAGGAGGGATGGGAGTGAGGCATGTGCTCGCCTGGAAAAAGACCATTCCAGGCAGAGAGAAGAGCAAGTGCGAGTGCCCTGAAATAGGAGCCTTCATGGAATAGGCAAAGAGCAAAAAGGCCAGTGTGGGGAGAGCAGAGTGAGGTGGAAAGTAGTAGGAGGTAAGGTCAGAGACATAACAGGGGACCAGGTTGTGTAAGTTCTTAGAGGTCTTTGGCTTTTATTTTGAGCGACATGGCAAGACTTTGGAGGTTTTGAACATGGGAATGATATGATCTGACATACATTTTTAGAGGATCACCCTGGCCACTGTATGAGAATAGTAGAGGCAGCGGGAGAGGGAAGGCAAGACACAGGCAGAGCAGGTAGGAGGCTGTTTCTGAGGTCCAGTCTAGAGATCATGGTGGCTCTACCTAGGGTGGTTTGGGGGAAGAGGTAAAACATAGTCAGGCTATAGATATTTTAACAGGAGAGGTGACAGGTTTTCCTGATGGATTAAATGTGATGTTTGAAAGAAAGAATGGAGTTAAGAATGTCTCTGAGGTTTGAACCTGAGACTCTGGAAGCATATTTCCATTAAACGAGTTGGGAAAGAGTGCTGGAGTAATTGGGGAAGGAAAGAACAAAGTTGTTATTGTTGTTCTGCTTTTTCCCTTTATTATTATTGCCATTATTGTTGTTGTAATGAGAGGTAGATGCATCAGTCCTTCCCACTTTATTCTTAGTCCCATCTCCTATCAGATTTTCTCTTTTTCCCAGCAGGTAATAAACCTCTGTGCATCCCTCCCCTCTATTTGGTCAGCACATTACATCAAACTGGTCCCTTTTCCTACTGTGATTTAGTCCCAAAGAGAAGTATTATAGATGGATACTTAGCATGACCCCCTATCCTGGGAACATAAACTTGACCCTAAATGCCTGTTTCTACATGCACATCTTCCTTCTCAATCCCCCCAATAGTATCGTTATGAAAGGAACCACCTGCTTTTTCTTCTTTTGGAAATTTCGCTGCCCTTTGCTTTTTCTCATTTTAGCCACTTTTCTTCCACTTACTCTAGTTTCCATTAATCTTCCCACCAACTCTTCCCCACTAACAATACTGTCTGCTCTCACTCCCATGAACTTTCCTATGACCCCTCAATACCGCAATAAATCTCCTGACCTATCTACCTAGCTCATCCCTTTCCACCGCCCTCAACTAAAGCTTTTTGTGGCAGGAAGACCCATTTGAGGTCTCTGAGACTTAGTTTGCTCCTCTATAAAATAAAGGAATTAAACAGATTATCTTCAAAGATACTTTCAGTTTTAACTTTTGATCAAACTGACTCTACGTTTAGCTATTCAGTATTCTTTCATGTGTGGAAGTTCTCATTTCCTAGCTAGTTCGTCCTCGATATTTCCTTTCATTACTTCTTTATAGGTTCCAAAGTCCTAACCACATTTTTTCATCATTATTTCTTAGGCCAAGCCAAGTGGTTTTCACCCACACCTTAATGTTGGTCAAAAGAGTGTTTCTTTTCTTAAATTTTTCCTAACATTAGCACACAAAATAATTGAAGGATAATGTTTCAAGTCTAAAAGAAAGTAAACTTATTGGGACATCTCTTTACCCTGAGTGAGATCTTATGTTGTTCTTTGAAAAATCTGTGACTGGAAAGTTTTGTTAATGCCAGTGACGAGCAGCTAATGGCACAACATCTGCTTTGATTTTTTCTGACACACCCTTGAGCTTTCCATCCTCACTTCTCTGTGGTGGCCTCACCTTTGACTTTCTTTTTTCCTGTAACTGCCAGTTTTGATCAGCTAATGAGAGCGATAAGGAAAAAACAATTTAGCTCAACCGAATGCCTCTTTTGACAAATAAGGAAACACAGTTTGTTCTTCTGGATTTCAGACTAAATTAACAACATTTAAAAGAAAATCCTGTACACAGAGGTCATTTTTAATGCTTTTATTTAGCAAAAGTTCCAGGTGATTTTGAAATACGTTGGACATTCCATTCACTGAGGATGAGACGTTTTTCCAAAACATTTTCAATAGCCCTAAACTGATTATGTCTATCAAAGCAAAAAAGGGGAAAATCCACCCCAAAAAAGTCTTTCTATGGTGGAGGTTACGTAGCTGGACTTCGTAGACATTCAAGAAACTCTCACACACACACATTTATATAATTAGTTAGAAATATTCCATTTTTAAGATTAAATTTTACATAACACATTATGACTATGGGTTACTCGAATACCATAGTTATTTCTACCTATTTTTAGCAAGAGAACTAGACTTCACATTACTTAATCCTGGCTTATAAATCTGACTTTGTAAAACTGTAGGATACATGTGTACTGTCTAGTCTTCTCTGCCCAAATTAAATGCCATCGCCTTTGAGTCCCAGTTATAAGATGCCTCTCCCTCCTCTGAACTCCACTGGGACTTACCTTTTGTCCTACTTTTCCCCATACTTCCTAAATCAGAGTCTCTCATATCTATCAATAAATGTTTATGGAAGAAAAGGAGGAGGAGAAAAATAAATAAGCATTTTAGTTTAACAGAAAAAGTATGGGCTTTGAGTCAGACAAATCTAGTTTTGTATCTTATTTCATCTATTTATTCACCATGTGATAGAGGACAGTTGATTTAATCTCTCTGGGTCTTAGTTTCCTCATCTGTATAATGGAGAAAATAAAATCTCCCTCATAAGGTACCGTGAAGATTACATTAAATAAGATTTAAAGCACCTAGCACATAAGAAGTACCCAATAAAAGTTACTTCCCCTTCCGCATTCCAGCAAATCATTACTAGTTCAATCCTGCAGTGCACCTGATTGAACACAGGGCTTTTTCTAGGCTATGAGCATTTTGAAGACAACATCTTATTAATCTTTATATTTCCTATAGAACCCAGAATAGTGAGTTGCATAGTCTGGAGGCACAGTAACTGTGTTTTGTATTAAACTGAGGGATAACGCCTATGTTATCATTCCTAAACTGTGGATCACTCCTAAACTGTGGAACAACTGTCTGTGGACTTTGGCACTTGGGGCTCTTTTGGGAATACAGCTCCTCTTGTGAGCTATGTATGGCTCAGGCCACTCTGGCCTTGAGACAGCCCCCATGGTTTAAATTAGGATAACTACTTTCCTGAATTCTATGGCAACTGATCAGAACGCTGTTCCATTTCTTACTGTAAAAACTGCTGCAAAAAAATCGACCTTCCTCTGACAGAGACTGAACTTTGTGCTGGCAAAACCACAGGTTGTGTTGAAAAAAAAACGGAGTCAAATAAACCCGGGTGATAAACTCCAGCTTGTCCCTCACCAGCCATGAGACCTTGGGCACGCTCCCTCTGCTTCCGGAGCCTCAGCTAAAACAAATAGAGATAATAATGCTACTGAGGCTGTCACACAGGGTTGTGGGTAGAGAAGGAAGGCGAGGCCTTGGAACACATTTTAACAACCATGAAGCAGAATGCAAAAAAAAAAAAATCTAGAAAGTCATCACTTTGGGTCATATGAGGCTCTTACTTTATCATAGCCTAGGCTCCCGCCCACACTTATTCCCTTCTTTGGTCAAATGACCAACTCTCTTACTTTATAATTCCATCTCAGTTCAGCAGAAAAGCTGAGCATGTATGTACGTGTGTGTGTGTGTGTACGTGTGTGTGTGTGTGTGTGTGTGCATGGACACACGCAGTGATGCCATCTACATAACTCCCAACCTTTTCTTCCGCAAGACAAGTCACAACGCAACAAGCAAGGGCGGTCATGCATTCACAGTACCGCAAAGCAGCCACCATGCTGCAGGGGCCGAGCCGCCTGCAGGCACAGAACTGCACCCATTCACTTTCTGTCTGATGCCAGAACCACACTGCACAGTCCAGCTGCTTGTGGACTTTTCTTGTGTGTCAATTACAGCTTCCTTTGTAAAATATTCCAAAGAAGATACAGCTCAACCAAAGCGTAACCAAAAGTCAGTGCCAGACTAAAGAAGGCAGGTCAGGGGAGAAGCCAAGACCCGTCTTTCCAGTTGAGGAAGAATCTTGGTTTCTAGGTCATTTACAAGCATCACTCCAGACTTCGTAAGGAAACCGGGAGGGAGGGGAGGCAGATCCATCACCTATACATCGCATATAGAAGACCGAACCTTCCCAAATTTCTGATAAAAGTCTTCCTCTGCCCGGGCCAAGGCGTCTTCATCAATGTACACAGCCGGCCTTTTGGCCACGAGGAAGTACTGCACCTTCCTGCGATTCCATCCCAGCACGTACTGGAGCCAGCCGCAGATGGCGGCGGTGGAGCGGCCCACCCCGGCGTTGCAGTGCACGTACACGGTGTGTCCGTTCTCAAGCAGCGCGTGGAGGAGACACACCGCCTGTGGCAGCATCTGGACGCGGCCTGGGATTGAGAGAGCACAGCACAGACCGGTGAGAAGTGAACTCCGTGTTGCCGCTAATAGTCACTCCTCCAGCGCACCGAGAAATCACAATGTTTTGGCGGGAGGGGCAGGGATGTCGGAGCTTGCTTCACTCCTTTGTTTTGAAAGAAAAGGTGAGACAAGACCAAAACCTGCTAATTATAAAGTGGAAAGAGCAGCCAGAGGCAATAGGTCAGCTCTGAACCTTCACTTGATTTTCCTTTGAATGACGTCTGCATCCGTGCAAATCTCCCTTCAAAGATAATTTCACTACTGCCTATCCTCAGAAGAATGGATTTTTACATTCATCAGAATGGTCTGTACAGATTGGGCAGAGGTTTAAAGGATTTCAAAGAGAAGCTCACAGGTCCTGTCACCTGAATTTCCTTTAATCCAAAAGGATCTTCCAGGTAAATCCAAAACAGAGTTAGTCCACATTGGTTAAAGGAGTCAATCTGGCTCTTTCAACATAGGCTAATTTTAATTTGTCCAATGAAATGGCTAACTTCTTAACTGATACATGTGGGATAGCCAGTCATTCATGTATTCCCTCACGATGCAGTGTGTATTAAAACGGATTCAGGGCTTCCCTGGTGGCGCAGTGGTTGAGAGTCCGCCTGCCGATGCAGGGGACACGGGTTCGTGCCCCGGTCTGGGAGGATCCCACGTGCCGCGGAGCAGCTGGGCCCGTGAGCCATGGCCACTGAGCCTGCGAGTCCGGAGCCTGTGCTCCGCAACAGGAGAGGCCACAACAGTGAGAGGCCCGCATACCGCAAAAAAAACCCAAAACAAACAAACAAAAAAACTGATTCAATTTCTCCTTTACTGTGCAATTATGATTATAGGTGTTGCTGCTCTATGGCTACTATCTTGATGATTAGAGGATCCAATGTCTTCCCCTCGTCACACTGAGACAGGATATACAATGCTCTGCTGAGGCTCGTTGGACTCAGGCCCTTTTCATCATTCTAGGGACAAAGAGCCCCCTAAAACCAGCACACTCCTGGATGCCTGGAGTTTCTTCTGCTCACAGATTCTCAGAGCAAAATGAATTTAGTGGATTATTTTGGAGAGTGGAGGATGGTCATTATAAATTGCTTCAAGAAGCAAATAAAGAGGGAAACTATACAGAGTCCTGGATGAAAACTCTGTGCTATGACCTCACATTCTCCAGCTGCTCTTGTCCTCAACCACATGGAGACACCACAGTCCTGGGGCGATCTTCCGAGGGCCACAGAGAATGCCCTGTCCAGCCCTCACATTGCCATCCCGTTGGATGACGGCAGAGGTGGGAAAAACCCCTCCCTCAAATGGTTTCATGAGGCCTGGAATTCTCCCATGAGAGCTGCTCAAGGAAGTTTAGACTTTCCTTAGATGTCCTTTTTTAAAATGCCTGGCAGGGACCAACACAACACATTGCAATCAGGCATCACCACCTTAGAAGGAGAGAGTTACCAAAATCCCATCGTGGCCTGAAGTCACCTCCCTGCTGGGGCAGCGGGTGGGAGGGGGCTAGCACTTAGCTTCAGGCTCAGCCTGCTCTGGGATCAGAGCAGGAGATCTATATGGAAGCCAGATAATATTCTAGTTTCTCCTGGTGCTCTGTTGCTGCCTCTGACTAAGGGATCTGAAGGCCCCACGCGGCAGTTTAGAGATGCTTTTAACAGGAATGCTTGAGGCAGAGCACACTTTGAAGCTCCTGAAGCTCCGTCTCTTGCCAGTACCTGTTGCCACACTTTCATATTCCCTGCCTTGTCCCTGAAGGCATCTGAATTGGAGACACACCAGCTCCAAGCCTTGATTGATTTCTCAGAGTCCAAACATAAACTTTAATTGATCTATGCTTCTGCGCTTGATTGCAGGGTGATCTGAGGTTAGAGCTAGGTGGGCCTGCCATTCAGTCAGTTACTCATGGTCCTCTCCTAGAGGCAGTAAGTATCTCCGGAGATGTAACAAGGCAGAAGACACCATATATACCAGAGAGGTGTCTCGCTGTGTGTCTCAGGGAAAGGACTATTTGGTCCACCATTTGAGTTGAGGGATCAGAGGCGGCAAAACCTCCAAGGTCTGTTTGAGTGGCCCTGCTGATAAGGGTGAGGCCTGTTCAAGGGCACAGCTTTTGTTCCGCTGAGGGCATGTTAGAGGTTTACTTCAAGTGATGTTGTCCAGGAAGGGAACTACCAGTGACGGATCTGGGAAGCTTGGGTCACTCCTGCTTCTGCCACAGTTGGCATCACTTTTCAAGTTCCCTGTTACGGCTGCCTCTCCAGTTACCATGTTCATTGCCAGGAAATAAACACAAACATTTTTAATATGGGTTTTCATCAAATGCCAAATACACAAGTAAACCACAGTGGACATTTGCAGGAGGAGCTGCTGCAGAGTCCCAGAGTCAATGCTCAGCTCTTGCAGCATCCATGGAGCCAGCCTGCCCCGGCCACGTCTATATGGACCCATCAGGATCCCTTCCGCTGACCTTCACTCTGGCCAGAGGTTCCCCAAGGAAGGGTCTGCACCAAATGGCCGAAATGACCTAGTATCTCCCCCTCTCCTTTTTATCTGTAAAAGATTCTTCAACAGGTATGTACACAGCTTAGAAGTTGAAAAGGGATTTGTGTTAGTTTAAGGTTCAGTGAGCTCAGACACATAATCCTGGAATGTAAATGTCAGCTGCCACGTGGAAACTCCAGCAGGCTCCCAGTTTAAACACAGGTCTCACCCACCAGTGGTCTTCTCCTAGAATCACTCGGCCGTCCCACTTAAGAACTGTCAAACAATTATTTAAATAACATAAAGAATGAATAAAGAATAAAAAGGAGCACCGGAGAAGCAGTCAGTCTAGGGGGCCCACCCCTCTCAGCCTGGCTTCAGCTGGAGCCCTCCTTTACTTTGACCCTGTTTTGATTGATGACAGCTAACACATACTGAGCCTTTTCTACCTGCCAAGCGCTGATCTAAGCACTCCGTGTGCAATAGCTCCTTTATGGCTACCTCTCAACAACTATGAGGTTGGTACTATTATTATCCTCAGTTACATCTGAGATTTGCCCAAGGTTATTCCCTAATGGCCACCTCCAACCCAGCCATCCAGATTCTAAAGCCTCTGGTTTTAACCTCTGTACTACTGTCCTTCCCTAACCTACCTGGTCAATGGCACTTGCTAGCCACTATGCTGTCGATCTGAATTTTCAGTCAGTCCCTGCTCCCCCACTTACCTGGTCATGCTGCGGCTCTCACTCCTGTGGGACAGTAACACCCTCCATGGGATTCAGCACCTCTGCCCCTACCCTAGAGGGGCCATCTGTGCCCTACAGGCGCATGTCCTTCTGCTTGAAAACCCATCCTAGGGAGGCTGAGCTAATACGTAACCCACCAAGGAATCACAAGACGGTCCCCAGGGTCAGGGCTCACACAGTAAAGCCAGCGTCAACCAGATCCCCTAATTTTTATGTTTCATATATTTAGGCTCCATATAGAATTTAATTTGATAAAATGTTTCCATTTTTAAAAACAATAACACCCCAAGGCAAAAGAGAACCACTGATTTTTTAATGTGAAATATTCCAAATTTTAAGTGTTGGCAACTAAGTTGAAAATTTTAAAGCCTGTGCAGGTCCAACAAAACACTCTACCATCTGCGATTCTTACTTTGGAATTTAAAACAGGCCTTGACTCTCCACAGATGCTCAATAAACACTCATTAAATACATGAATTAAAACAATGTAAAAAAACCCGTTAATACCGATTTGATCTGAGACAGTCCGAGACCCCTCTTAGCTAAATTTCTGGTCCACATCTCCTCCAGGCTAATCCAACTCTGGAATGATTAAAAGCTACCTGAAAACATGCAATGAGCAAGCAAGCACAGGTGAGAAAGGGGACAAGGGCATGGTGGGGCAGCCTGAGGCATGAGGGGGCCTGAAATAAGTGGGAGTGGGGGGTCCCTAAAGATATCTGAGGTTGACCTAAGTCTGACCCTGAACGAAATCATTCCTGGCACAACTTTCAGCCTTCCAACACACACACACACACACACACACACACACACACACACACACATCTTTCCTTTCTTAATCCAGAGGCAGATTTATGGCTGAATATATTACTATTTTATTTGAGCATATCTTCTTTTCCTTAATATTGATAAGGTCTATGTTATCTGTAACACCCTTTGGTAGAAACTGAAGAACTTGGCACTAATATTATAGTCCCAACTTTGGAATTTTGAAAGCACTTTCATATCAATTATTTTATTCTATTGTTATAACCGTGTAAGTCTGCAATTATTATTCCCCATTTTCCAAGTGCAGGAACAAGCCTGCCCGTATCACACGATGGTGATAAGGCTCAAGCCCGGGCGGTGAGGCTCCAAGGCCAGTGTCTCCGCCTCATGGCAGCACTGAATTTAGCATGCTGGGTCAGAGAAAGAACTAAGACTGTGACCACAGATGGGTGGCTCTGGGGAGCATGTTAACCCATTTGGGAGACAAGGGTAAACCATTTGTTATAAACAGCACTGCGCTTACAGAGGTCAAAACCCAATCTGAGTACTTCCCGTGTGAAGGAAAACTGACTTTTAATGAACAGATTTTATGTTTTCAGGTGAGTGCTAGATTTGGGAGCTTTTTGTTCCTCAGGTGAAAGACACAAATCAAAAGAAAAGAAAAGGAAAACCCTAAACAGCCCCAGTCCCACTGCATAGGACAAAAAGTACAAGAGAAAGAATCGATGGCACAGTTGACTGTACCAGGTCTGTGACAACCAGTGGTGACAGTCAGGCCTAACAAACTGTCTTCTTTCTCAGACTTTATCTGACAGCATTATGCTGCGGCTCAAAACACTTCCAGATGGATTTTTCTCTAGAGTTCTAAAAATATTCAGCTGAATTAATCTGTGTGTTCATTGTGCTAACGTTGTGAGCCACAGAGATTGATCTATTGGTCAGAAATTCCTTGGCGACTCAGGAGTGTTGTTAACTCTTTGATTACTCCCCCAGGTTATGCTGAACCAAAGAAACCCTTTATTTAGTCTTGGGATTTGGCCTTTTTCAAGTGGGAGCTTTCATTTTGCTGCCATTTCATGTTTCCAAAGTGCCTCAGGGTGGAAGACGCTCCGTTGTATGACTGGCTCCTGGTGACTCCGTAACCCCCCCCCACCCCCCCCACCCCCGACAAAGGTTTTAATACCATTACAGCGGGTCTTTGGAGGTAGAATTTTCCACCAGGCTTCTGTATATTCCCAAACTATCAAGCAAATTGCCTATCAGTCAGCAGGGTTTTGGAGAATCAGTGCATGGGGTGGAGCGGCTATATTCATCTCAGCTTCTCTGAGCCTCATCTCACATCCTACTCCAACAGGATAACAATGCTCTAAGATGACAACCAAAGAAGCAAAAATCAAAACACTCCCAAGAAGCTACAGGCACACTGTCCTAACGACCTTCTCCATTTTGAAACCAGAGAAACAAACTGGACAGGGCAAATATGACCTAGATTCGACCAGGGCTCTTCTGTGCAAGTAAGGTGGGGTTTTTTTTGTTTTTTTTTTTAATTCCTTGAAAAAAGACAGAGCTCTTGCAGCTGAATCAAGCTCCTTTGGATCGGCATTAATTACCAAGAAGAGTAACCAAACTATCTCCTCCTTCAGGAAGAAAAATTATACATCCCCAGTGACAGTTCAGTTCAGACAGACCCACAAAGGGGTCTAGCCCGGACAGGAGGACCATAAAGATTCATTAACAGCCAAGATGGCCAAGGTCCTGGGACACTCTGGGGTGACAAGCTACCTCCCTGGAAACTCGTGACTTTGTCTAACTCCAGCTGACGATGTACGTGACAGACTGAAGTGCGGGTGGTGGTCTGCAGAAAGTGCATGAAGAGTCCACGTGAGCACGTAGAGAAGCTTCATCATATGGTGTCAGGAGCAATGTTCTGAGCCTGACTGCCTGGGTTGAAATCCAGGCTGTGTCTCTGCTATGTGACACAGGCCAGGTTACTTAACTTTTTTGTACCTCATTCTCTTCCTCTGCAAAATGCAGATAACTGCAACATCTGCCTGGACTCTTGTCTTGAGAATTAAATGAGTTAATGTATGAAATTACTGAGAAGAGTGTTTGATACATAATGTACTTTGCGGAGAAGAGGGCTGATGATAGAGATGCTTCCTCCCTGGCCATCACTGTCTTCCTTCTTTCCCCCAGAATAGCAGTTCACCAAACTCCCTCAGCCTGCACCAGTCCATAGCTCTCTGCTGCCCCCTGCTGACATCTGGTTGATATGATTCGTGTAACTTGTTCCCTTGGCTCCACTCCTTTCTACAAACAAGAACCCTCCTCCACAGCCAGGCTGACATACAGATCGTTCCTCTAAAATACCATGCCTCTGGGCCTTGGCTGTTTCTTCCACCTGGCATGCTCTTTCTCCCTCTACCTGGCCCTGCCACGCCCACCTCAAATCCCAGGATACTCATGTAGCCTCCCTGCGCTCTGCCGTAAAAGAGCTCCTCCCACGCTATAACCCTCCTAGTGCGCAGGGCTCATCTCTCTCATCACATTCTTCTTTCTACTATAATTAGTTTTGAACTTGCCTTACTGCCTCTTACCATGAGATCAAAAGTGTGCCTTGGGCTTCCTTGGTGGTGCAGTGGTTAAGAATACGCCTGCCATTGCAGGGGACAAGGGTTTGAGCCCTGGTCTGGGAAGATTCCACATGCCACGGAGCAGCTAAGCCCATGAGCCACAACTACTGAGCCCACGTGCCACAACTACTGAAGCCCAGGCGCCTAGAGCCCATGCTCTGCAACAAGAGAAGCCACCGCGATGAGAAGCCCGCGCACCGCAACGAAGAGTAGCCCCCGCTTGCCGCAACTAGAGAAAGCCCGTGTGCAGCAACGAAGACCCAACACAGCCAAAAAAAAAAAAAAAGTGTGCCTATTTATCTCTGTTTCCCTGGCAGCATCCATGTCACACCCTACTTCCCTCTTCACAAAGACACGCTCAGCCAGTGTTTGTGCAGTAAATGAAGCGTCACTATTGCCACCCTGCCCCGAGCTGCGTTCTCTCTCGTCATCTCTCACCTTACCTACTGCAGTCGCCTCCTAACTGGCGTCCCCAGATCAGCTGGGGCCCACTCTGACATTCTCTACACTGCAAACGAAGGGCACTTTTAGAGGGGAAAAGAAAAGTTAACTTGACATCTCCCAGCCTCCCGCCCTTTCAACTGCTTCTCACTGCTTTAGGATAGCACCTAAAGTTTTTATTGTGCCCCAAATCCTGCAAGACTCTGTTCCCTCCTTCCCAGCCCTGCAGCCAAACTGGCCTTCTTTCAGTTCCTCCAACACTCTGTGCTCTCCTGCAACGGGAATTCTTCCCAAGCTGTTCCCTCTGCCTGGAAGCCTCTTTCCCACCTCACCCGTGCCAACTCCCGCTTCAGATCTCAGCTCAAACACACCCGAGAAAACCTTCTCTGGCCCTTCTTCCTAGGTCTGATTTGCCTGCCTAGGCTCTCACAGCAATATCTATGTATCTTTCTAACCAAAAGCTCATCATAGCTTTACAACTCTATTTGTAGTCATTTGATTAACGCTTGTCTGCCCTATAGAACTAGAAGCTCCATGAGGACAGGAGTTGTGCCTGCTTTTCCTCACTGTTGTATTCCCAACCACCAGCCTAGGGCCCCACACATAGTTGATACACAGTAAATACATGTTTAATGAATAAATAAATCGAAGGACCCATGTTAAACAGAATCTAAGCCAAGGTGTCAAAAGATATATATATTAAATATATTAAACCAAAAACCTTATATTTATTCCATATCTGTCATTCACGTTTAGGTCATTCAATTATAGACAGAAAGGTAGGTAGGTAGATAGGCAGACAGATAGACAGACAGACAGGCGAAAAACCAGCAAGGGCTTCTTTGAAACACATTCCACGAGGAGCCAGAAAGCTCCTTCTCATGCTTACCTTCAGTGCTCATATCCGGTGTCGGCATCCAGATGTAGGCCAGGCCTTCTTCCTTATACAGCTTAATCATAGTGTCAGGAGTCATGGGTTCTGGGTAGCGGTTACAGCCTGAGGAATTCTGTACAATATCCCATTCTGTCTGGAAGTTCATTACAGCCGTAATCCCCAGTTCATGCTTCAGTTTGATGGTTACATGTTCCACTTGGCGAGGGCAGCTACCCAGCCAGATATTTGGTAGAATTCTAATAAGAACACATGGAGTCAACTATTACTATTGTTGGTGTTATAGGAGCTGCATAAAACATGTAGTGTTAAAAGGCAATTAACCTTTAAAGCTGGAACAGGAAAAGCTGTATTAAGAATATGAGAACCAATATTATTAGCAAAAGACTGAAATACTGGTGGTGGTGTTTTGGGGGAAACAAATGATTCAATTAACTAGAACGCCAGGAAATAAGCATTAGCAAACCAAATCTAGCAATATATTAAAGTACGTCCACCAAGTTATACCTATTCCAGGAATGTATATGTGGTTCAATATTAGGAAACCCATCAACATATTTCAAATACTAACAAATTAAATGTAAAACTCCTATGATTAATTCTGGAAAATATGTGCTAAAATTCAGCATTCATTCCTGTTTAAAACTCTATACAAAAATTTCAAATAGCATGAGGTTAACAGAAACTAATAATCAACAATCTTCTTGTAAATAAAATCAAAGTAAAGATCATTTCCATCAGTAACAACATTGTATGATTCACCTAATGCTACAATGTAAGAAGAGGAAATGTAACTCTGAAAAAGAGATTAAACTACAAAAGCTATGAAAAATATTAAAAGTATTAAGATATCTGGATGAAGAAAAATATAAAAAATCAAGCAACCATTCTCTGTACTACCATAGCCAGGTAGAAATAGAATGGGAGGACCAGGGAAAATTTCATTCAAAAATAACAAAAAAGGCTTCTCTGGTAGTGCAGTGGTTGAGAGTCCGCCTGCCGATGCAGGGCACACGGGTTCGTGGCCCGGTCCGGGAGAATCCCACATGCTGCGGAGCGGCTGGGCCCGTGAGCCATGGCCGCTGAGCCTGCGTGTCCGGAGCCTGTGCTCCGCAATGGGAGAGGCCACAACAGTGAGAGGCCTGCGTACCGCAAAAACAAAACAAAAAACAAAACAAACAAACAAACAAAAAACAAAATTATAAAACATCTAGGAATACCTTTAACCAGAAAGCACTATAAAATTTTATTAGAGGACATTACGAAAACAACAACGAATAAATAGAGAGACATACTGTGATATTGTGATTTATAATAAGAAATATATATTTGCTCTTCATAACCATTTCCGGCACAGAGCTCCTAAAACCATTGAAATTTCCTAAGTGATGAGAGCTGTAATGGTGTCTTTTGTTAATGAGGTAACTTTTGGAATACACCCAAGCATGGAGACTGGTTGCCAGGGGGTACCAACCTTGTGATTAGAGAGCTGGAATTTTCATCCCACCCCCTGACCTCCTGGGAGGGAAGAGGGGCTGGAGGTTGAATCAATCACCTTTGGCCAATGATTTTATTACTCATGCCTATGAAATGAAGCCTCCATAAAAACCCAAAAGAACAGGGTTTGCGGAGCCTCCAGGTTGGTGAACACATGGAACTGAGAGAGGGCCCTGCCCTTTTCCCCATGCTTCACCTAGGTGTCTCTTATATCTGACTGTCCCTGAGTTACATCCTTTTATAATAAACTGGTGATCTAGGAAGTAAAATGTTTATCTGAGTTCTGTGAGCTGCTCTAGAAAATTAATGAAACTCAAGTCTAAGGAGAGGTATGGGGAATCTCCAATCTGTAGCCAGTCAGAAACATGGGTAACAACCTGGGTTTGCGACTGGCTTCTGAAGGCAGGTTGGGGGCTGGGTCTTGTGTGACTGAACCCTTAACCTGTGGAATCTGATGCTGTCTGTAGGTAGGTAGTGTCAGAATTGCATCGAACTGCAGGACACCAAGCTGGTCTCTGGAGAATTGCTTGGATATGTGAGAACACTCCCTACCCCGTACATTGGAATTAGGTCCCAGAACCCAAAAGATATACCATGCTCTTTAGTTGCAAGACTTAAAATCATAAAATGTAAGTATCTTAAAAATGTAAATATTTTCCAAATTAATATATAAATTGCACACATGTTATTATAATCTGTTGCATATGGTATATGTTGTCTTGTTCACTGATTATTTCACATGCGTACATTCTCTCCAGAACTAATAGGTGAATAATCTATTTCAAACTTTACTTGATTCATGTAACCTAGAACCTTACTAGGTTCATTACAGGGCGGTCAGACTATAGTCCTTAGATGACGGTGGCAGGCATCACGGATGCTTACCAGTGTTCCCAGGTATCCCCTTTCAAGCATGGAGGACTAAACTTCCTCTCCACCTCAAAGCTAGATATGGCCACATGACTTGCTTTTGTCGATAAAACGTAAGCTGAAGTGACCAGTGTGACTTCAGAGGGACATACTTAAGACCTTATGCATGATCTTCCACTCCCTCTTTCCCTGCTGCAATGAGTATGAAGGCACATGTGGATGCTGAGCTTCTAGGAGCTGAAGTCACCCGGATGGTAACCTAACTCAGGGAGGACAGCAGCCCAGAGAGCTAACGGCTCATTGTGTTAAGCCAATTTGGGCATTGTTTGTTACCACAGCCTAACTTGACTTGTTCTGACTAATATAAAGCCTAAATAAACTAATTGCTTAAAGTCTCTAATATGCAGGGAAGAAACAGAGCAGAGGGACTACACTTTTATTTAGTTACTTTCATTTTAAGTTTAGAGCAGTCATTCTCAATTGGGAACAGTTTTGCTTCCCGAAGGATATCTGACAGTGATTATGGGGATATTTTTTGATTGTCACGCTGGGTGGTGCTACTGACATCTAGTAGATGGAGACCAGAGATGTTGCTAAGCATCCTGCAATGCACTGGACAGCCCCACAACAAAGAATTATCTTCTCCAAAATGTCAATAAAGTGGAGGTTAGGAAACCTTCATTTAGGGGAATAAAAGTGGACTAGAACTCTTTACTTTTTGTAGGAAGAAAAGGAATGTGGAGCTGGAGTAAGACCAACATACCTGACACAGAATTTGTAGCTCATCAGCTACAATATTCTGATGATAATATGATTCCATGTCATATTTGGAAATATGTAAGTATGCATGTATGTGTGTATATGAAGAGAGATATAGAGAATGAAGCAAAAGCCTAATATTAGATAGCTGAGCAGCAGGATAACATGTTAAGTGTGGCATAATGGAAAGGGCACTAAACACAAGCTAGAAAAACTAGGTTCAAATACCAATTTTAGCACAGTATTTTTAAAAGCACTTGGTAATAACTGTCTGACCTTAGGCCAACCTATTTATCATCTCTGAGCCTTTGGTGTGCTCATCTTTAAAATGGGTCTCAAAATAACTAATTCACAGGAATTTTGTAAGGAGTAAATACAATTAAGTAATGTATTTGAATAAGTCTGACACTAGTGGATACACAATAAATACCAGTGGAGTTTATGTCTAGTTATTATAATTTACCTATTTTAGTAATTTATTTGATATTGAAATGACTATTTATATAATTTTTCATTGTCCTATATATCCTTCGTTTGAATGCTGCAGAGCGTAGACTATTCACCCTATTTTATAATATGAAATCCAGCTAGTTATTCTCCTTTGGTTGTTGTTGTTGTCACTGTGGATGTTAACATTAAGAAGCCAACTGACTAATCCTCAAATGTGGGTATTATTCATCCTCAATGAAAATATCTTACAAGGGCGAGCATCATCTTTCTAAAGCTTGAACCCTACTTACTCTCCAAGAGAGGATAAACCAATTTTTATTGCTGCTTGGGTTCTAAGTATAATAGGTTATTAGGAATTTCCTTGTGGATATTGAGGATTATTATGGAAGCAATAAAAGGATACAATTTAAAACAAAGAGAAACCCAGGTGCTGTGAAGAAGGGCACAGGATCCAAAGGTTTTTTTTAAACTTTATTTCTGACTCCAAAGAATTCTCAGACACCCCATTGGGCCCAGTGAACTGAGAGAAAGACCACCAGCAGGGACACATTTAGAGTATCCCAGAGCTATGCTTGGCCAGGACACTGTTAGCTGAGTATTTTATCTTTGCAGGAATGGAAACTTCACATCCCCTGGGTCGTTGCCCCTACACTCCGGCTGTTCAGTGAGAGTAGGAACCTTCCCCTGTGTAGATGTTCCATCCTTCCTTCCATTATTCCATAAAGATTCCTCCTGCAGCAACCTGCTGGATGCCTAGTAGGTAATAGTGTTGGGCTGCTTTACCTATACTTTGGGGTTTAACTGAGCGTACTTGAGAACACTCAGCTGGAAAAAGAAGGAAGCGGACACCTCAGTTATACAACCTTCTGAACAACAGTGTACTTTTACTGTCCAAATCTTGAAGTGGACTGGTTACATATTAGAATGAATATTCATGACAGGTAAGCTAAATTCCAAATGTTATCCAGAGTTCTCTTGAGTACTGTACTCTTTAAGTGGGAGCATTTAGTATTCAACTAGTAAATAAATGCCAAAACAAAGTGGTTGGCATGCCAGATTTGCTTATATACCAAAGAGTAGTTCATAGAGAGATATAAAGGGTAAATCAGGACACTTGACCCTATAAAATAAGAAATCAGAATCCAAAACCAGACTCAATATATAGATCACATTGTGTTGCTAAATAAAAAGGTGTTATTTTATCATCTCATTCAGCCCTGGCCTTCAAATGCATTTAAACTAGCCAGTAACCTTAAGAAACTCAGAACAAATCAAAGATTAATAGGTCCAAAGTTGGTACCCTAACATATATATTTCCCACATCAAGTTTCTAATGGAAATAAGCCCTTGAAATACACACCCACACATACTCACACACAAATAACACCAGTTTCTATACCAGATACTTCCAACTTTTACTTAACATAATTAATTCTTCCTCTAACAATGCTAGAAGTCAGAGTACATATTCAAGAAATTAATATAAAATAATTCCTGATTTTTTTAGAGTAAGATGTTCTGAACCTAGGAGGTGGATAACTAAAGATAAATTCTGAAAACAAGCAGTGTAGTGAAGGATAGAGAATTGAAGTTGTAAAGTAAATTATACTGAACCATTACATGGGATATAGAGACAAAATACTGGACTTGTTGGAAACACACA